CACAACTTATACCAATGTAAATTCTAGGTGATTAAACATAATTAAGAGCTAAAATTTTTAAGTATTAGAGGATAATAGATGTTTTATATAATAGTGATGTAGGGGAGACCATTTTTAAGTCAGACACCAACAATGTAGTGAAAAAAAGAAAAATTGATAAGTTTAACCATCCCAAAATTTTAAACAACTTATACATAAAAGAAATTTAACAAAATCTTGCTAAGTATGAGAATGAGTTTTTTTAATATATAAAGAATTAATAAGGACGTAGAAAGGAATATACACATACACAAAAAAGAAATGGCCTATAAACTCATTGAATATTAGTGAAATATAAATTAAAACAACCAAGTTTGGTTTTCAGCTTGTTCATGTTGTAAAAATATATAAGATATCCAGTGTTTGGAGTGTATGAGGAAATATACATTACTTATAGGAATATAAACTGTTACAAATGCATTAAAAGCCTTAAAATTTAGATATTTGGAAGAATGTACTACATAATTAACAGTTAATTATTTCTGTTTTTGCAACTGTAGGTGATTTTGCCCTTTTTACCAGCTTTCTATTTTTATACAATAAATATGTATTATATTTCATTTTATTTAAAACATAAAAATCTTAAAATCATACAAAATCATAAAACATAAAAAACTTTAAAAGGTTTTTAAATGTTGTAGTACAAAGAGCACATGTTAAGTAGTACTTTCCTCTTTCATCCAGGCTGCTATTACTTTTAAAATATGGTCTTATCTCGTATCTTATTACCTATAAACTAACCCTACGAGAATATGGTGCACTGAGTATTTTATGTAAGGCTGGCTGGTTAGCTCAGTTGGTTAGAACGCAGTGCTATAACACCAAAGTCAAGGGTTCAGATTCCAGTATGGGCCAGCCACCAAAAAATAAATAAAATTTTTAAATGAATTAATTAATTAAATATTTTATGTAGCTTAGTGCTAACATTAATTATGAGATAACTTTCATATCTATGCATGCTGCTATTTATGCATATATATACACACACATAAATATATGTTATAGAATACATAAATATTTAAATAAGTATATTGAATAAATATAACATTGAACTTAATAAAGTGTTAATTTACTGATACATGTATGTATATATTAAATCAAATATATTAAGTAAAGTATATTAAAAATATAAATATATAAGATATGATATAAATATATTATACTTATAATAAATAGAACCATACATAACATTTATATGTGTGAATGCTGCTCCTGTTATATATACATATATAACATGAGGATACGTCCAAAAGTTTGTGGAAAAATAGAGTTAAAAGATAGTATGAATTTTCTCACAACCTCTTTGACATATCCTCATGCTATATGTTATTATTATTGAGTGTGTTATATATACTATATTCACATTCTATATATATTACATATTATTTTTATACTTGTGTATGAGTTGTATAGTAACATTATTAGATATGTATTTACATAATAGGAGCAGCATTCATGGCTGCGAAAGTTATCTAAAATAGATATATCTATATATTTGTTTCTCCTTTGAGGTGAGTTTCTTCCTTTGGTGCTGTGTCTCCCTGCTTCATTTCTGAGCCAGCTCACATGGCACCAGTGAGCCCAGGATTGTCTCCAGTCTATAATAATACATGCTTTGAGTCCCCAAGGAACCCAGCCCTAATTTGATTACCCCGCACTATGACTGTGCAGCCAACAGCCACCATCACGTGTTCATGATGCACACGGCGGCCTCTGGCATTTAACTCTGTATTTAACTCCTAAGATTTATGGCAAGTGCTTTCATGACCTACATCAAAAACTGGGTAGTGTATTCTGCTAGGAGAGTTTTCAAATGTGTTATTCTGCTAGTTCACCTAGGGAGAGTCATTTGGAAACAACAGCAATTCAGATTGTGGCAGTCCTAATTTCTAGGCACATATCACAACATGTTTTATTGTCAGGGTACCCAGAACCCTGCAGAGAAAGCTGGCCTGAGGGTCTCATTCAGAGAAGACAGACTAGACTATTGTACCGTACCAGGCTGATATGCGATTGCTGATAGCACTTCTGCCATGAATAGAACGGGGGCTGTGTTTGTTCTTGGATCACCCTCCGTGAGCCTCAGCCTGCCGTGGTCATTTAAGTGCAGCTTGTTTGCTGGTGCCTGTGCCATTGCAGTCTTAAGTGTAGTTTGTCATTGCATGGGACACTGAGAACACCTTCCAAAAGCCCTCTTCATATACTGCTCTCGCACAGTGTTGGCCAGGATGGGAGCCTCAAAAGGCTCAGGATCCAAGCCCATCTCCTTACAGATGAGAAGACTGAGGCCCAGAAGGAGACTCACAGAGCACACTATCAAGTATGAGCAGAACCAGAACTGAAGGCCTGATCTGTTGCCCCTTCTGTGGTCCTTGTTCAATTCCATCACAGCAGCCTCTTTCCCTTGGGGAAGAGCATTGAGCATCGTCTCTGATGGTAGATGTCAACCTTTGGCCAATAGTTTTATTTGTTCTTGGTTTTTTTTTTTTT